GCATGTGCGGACGCAGCGGGCATGCGCGAGGATGCCTGTTTCGGGGGCGTGGCTGAGGATCGGGTGCTGCAAAAGCCCAGGTCCTCGGCGCGGCACTTTCGCAAAAGCAACAGTTCAGGTAGCTCCACTTCAGTGGCCCACTGGGCCTGCGGCGTCCAGGCACGAAGGACCGATCAGACCCTGGCCCACTCCAGCTGGCCCCGGGACTACCGTGCCCTCCTGGCTTGGTCCCTTGACTTAGCGCCAGCCGGGCAGAGCTGAGCTGCAGCGTGGGTCCAGGGGGCGGATCCTGCGCGCCACCCGCGCTGGCATGGCGGACTGATGAGGACTGCCTACTCAGGAAGCTTCAAGGGCGGCTTCAGCCTGACTAAAGTTGAGGAGCGGAGCAGGCCACCCGGGAGGGTCTACCGTGGACGGACAGGTCACCCCAGGAATAAAGGTGAGATGATGCCGCTCGGGCTCTAGGTTCTGTTGTAAAGTCGAGGTTGTCTTGTGGCAAGGCTGCATCTAATACAGTTTTTCCTTGCCTTGTATTTGACCCCGGTTGTGTTTGGGGTGGCCAGCAGATAGGCTGCGTCCTTCACTACCTGGGCTGGAGTAAGTGGGGAGGCTCTGAGCTAAGCTGGTGGATAGGGGAGTGGCCCACTTCTTGCCCCCTGCCACCACCAGGACTGTTCCTCCACTCAGAAGGTGTTATGATTGGCACCAACCAGAGTGGCTGAGACCAGGGCATGGTGCCTCCGGGGCATGGTGCCTCCGGGGCATGTGCCTCTTCTGCCACTGACCTCTGCCTCCTGTCCAGGCCAATGACAGAGGAGGCTCCGATCCACCAGTGGGAGCAGTTGCCCCACCTCACTAAGTAGCACTCTCAGGGCTGACCTCAGGGACACAGCTGGATGCCTGGCACGGTGGGGGTGCCATGGGGAGTAATGGTGGCAAGGCTCCCAGAGTGGGAGCCAGAGGTCTCAGGGAGGAAACCCATTTTGGGTGTCCATCTGCACCTGGTGTACCCACTCCCCTACCTTGCTGTGCTGTACCTGCTCCGAAGCCTTGCTCAGGGCCGAGTCTGAGTCCTGACTGAAGCATAGGCACTGGTGCCTGGATGGGGCATCTGGGACATCTGGTGCCTGCTGGTCAGGTGCTGGGTTCTCTCATACTAAATGACAGGGAAGGTGCTGGGATTCAGAAGTGCCCTTGAAGCTGGGTTTGGCCTTGTTGGGAGGTTGTGAACTGCAGGAACACTGGGGACTGTGTCCACTTCGTTTCCTATCTCTAAACTCACTCCTGCTGCCATCCAGGGATAGGTGGGAGGGACTTCTACCCTACGGGGCTGACCCAGGCTGCAGGGCCTTCAGCTTCCCACCAGCCCTGCTTCCTTTTGCCTGAGTCTTTCCTGGGTGCTTTTGTACTGGCTACTCCTCTGGCTGGCTGAAATGCTAGAGATCCTCTCTGCCTGTCAAACTCCTACCCACTAACTTAGCTCATGAGCATCAGTGGCACCATCTGCTCACTGCTGTCTTCTTGAGAACGTGCCCATACAGTATTGCCCTGAGTGCCTTTCCTTTTGTACAGGGATTGAACTTGGGACCTTGCACATGCGAGGCAGGCGGTGGAACCACTGAGCTAAATCCCCGGCTTGAATGTCTTTTGGTAGCCCAGATGACTCCCAGGGGGACCCTCCACAGAAGACTGTGTCATTCCAGCCCAGTTTATGGCCTGCCTGGTTGCTGCCCTAGACCCAGAAAAGCCAGAGGGCAACTTACTCTTTTTTTTTTTTATATACTGAGCATTGAACTTGGGACCTTGTGTTTGCAAGGTGGGTGGCAGAACCACTAAGCTAAATCCTCAGCCCCAAGGGCAGACCATTCTTAAAATGCGCTTCACCACCAGGTCGGCCCCAGACATTCACAAAAATTACAAAGACTGGAAACTGGCCCTCAAACCTCACAACAGGAGCTAATTAACCTGGCCTTTAAGGTCTTCAGCAACAGATGAAATTGCTCAAAAACAGTGCCTTTCTGAACTGCAGATGTTGGCCTCTGCTGTGAGAAGCCTCCCCAGTTGACCACAAAGGAATCGAGCACCCCTGACCAGAAATACCCTTCAGGGCCAGGTTTCAAATTCCACCAAAACAGTCACTGAGCTAGGGAATGCCTGGAGCCTGAGATTCCTCCCAAGCCATGTCCTTCCTGTGGCGGGTCCTCACTGGAAGTCAGAAGACCCAATGCCAGCAACTGCTTCTGGGTCAAGACTGCAGGGATCCCAAACTAGCTCCTTCCCAGATCTTGGCTTGGCTTCAAAGACTGAAGCTGCCAGAAGGCCTTGGAGGCGCTGTGAACCATCTTGGATGCAAAACCTCAAGTAACTCTTAATGGTGGAGAATAAGTCCATCCCTTTCCTGATTATTGTGAATGCTACCCATTCTACCTTTCCTTCTTTACAAGGACGCATCTTCCTGGCCTCAGCTACTGTTGTGGACATTGATGGCAGTGTCTCCAGACACCCCAATCTGGTGTCAATTGGGTCAGAACCTTTTCCTACACTCATTCTTAGTCATGCCTGCTCGTCCCATTCTCCTTTAAGGACAAGACATCTTAACCAAGTTGTGAGCCACTCTGACCATCCCTGGAATACAACCTGCACTTTATAGCTGCCTTGGTTTCCCCTTTCCTGTCCCATGCACAGCTCCCATCGTATCCCTTCATAACTGTAGGGTTGGGATATCTCCACCCCATCCCTGGCTTTTCCCCAGCAACCACTTATTATCCCTCTCAAGCCAAACCACCTGTACCCTTCCCAATGACAATAATCCATCCCTGACCTGGCTTTATGGGGATTATGACCTATTATCTGTTGCCTATTATGACTCAGTCTCTTAATCCCTATCAACACCCCTTACAACACTCACATTCTCCTGGTATGAAAAGTAGATGGCACTTACATACTGGTACAAGATCTCTAGGCCATCAATCAGATTGTCCTTTTTGTACACCCTGTGCCAAATCCCTACACACGTTTGTCCTCCATCCCTCTGACTACCACTCATTACTCTGTCTTAGGTGTAAAAGATGCCTTTTTCAGGCTGGGGATTTAGCTCAGTGGTTCCACTGCCTGCCTCGCAAGTGCAAGGACCCGAGTTTGATCCCTGGTACCAAAAAAAAAAAAGGATGCCTTTTCCACTATTCCCCTATATTCCTCACAGCTCAT